CTCCACCTGCCCCCCCGCCCGATCCCCGACTCTCCCCACCGGGCGGTCAGTCGACTCACATCGTATGCACATCAGCAACTTCCAGCGACAACAGACAACAACGTCACAACATCTTCTCAGTATATGATCGATGACAATACGGCCACCCTGCGCCGAAGTTGGACCCGAGCAGCAACGGTGGTGAGTACGGCTCCCCCCCAGTACAGGGGCTGGGGGACCCGTGCTGACCACAGAACTCAGAACAACATAGCCAAGGGGTAGATCACTGTAAATGGGACCAATAAAAGCAGCAGCGGGGTTCTGAAGGGAAGTAGGTAAGGAAACAGAGTACGGGACAGGGAGGATGCTGGAAATGGCAACACAGTCAGCCCCGCGTCTCACAATGTTCTAATCTGCTTAGTCGCTGATCATACACCCGGTCAGGCAGTTGCACGGGCATATTCTCTCCTTACTGATTCGGCTTCTATCGCGCTGCATTGCATTGCATCGCGTTCCACCCATGGCAGATCTTCAGGCTCCAAAGATTACGAATGTCACGCAAGGGTTTAGTGAGGGTTTAGGGCTTAAAGGGCGTCAAAGGGATGCACAGGGTAACAACGAACAGGGGGGGTGCTGAAGAGGGCTGGGCTAATAGATAAGGGTGCTCCTAGATGGGTTGGGTGTTACTAGCAGCTCCATGGGACTATCGGAGCCCCGGGCAGACAAGAGAAATGACTGCAGTCCCAAAAACAACAGAACAATCCCTGCGATTCATGATATACCAAATGGGACGCTGGACCTGGTTTTCAGCAGGTGCCGCTCCCCACCAATAGATGGAGCAGCCCAACAGATAAGCCCTCAATTCGGACGGTTCTCTTACCACCACTGGGATGGAGGGCTTACACAGGGGCCTTTTTGTTAAAAAAAAGAGAAAAAAAAAGAAAGAAAAAGAAAAAAGAAGAGAAAATGCCAGTGGTTCTCTCGTTTGTTGTCTTGTGGATCCTTCATTTCGTTTCGTGGGCCTCTGTTGTCATTTATGGGACCTCCACCAGACCTGTGGAGGGCCTCCCCTTTCTATATTCCACATAACCCCCCAACCCCAGCAATTCTCTTGACCCCCTAACCCCAGCAATTCTCTTACCCCCGCTTCCACCTCAGCCCTACCTCAGTGTCAACCATTCAGAAGGAGATATCTTAGGTCACTCTCCTGGGTAGTGGCAGTTGACTTGTCCTCCCTTTGCAGTGCTCTGGTGTGCCCTTGTACAGGGAAGAATGTGCCTGGAGGCTAAACAAGTTGCATACCAGTCACCCACAAAGTCACTGCAAATGAGATTGTTTAGCAATCTGTCCTAGCATATACAGTACAGCCTCTGTGCTGCAGCAAGAACTATTGCGAACTGCGAGTTCAGTGCAGAGGGCAATGGAAGACTAAGCAAATGCCTTATTCTCGGCCAGACAGGTGGAGTTGGCACAGAAACTGCTAGGTGAAAAAGGAGCCGGAGTGCTGATCCCTAGACTGGGCAGCAGTGATAACCCCAAGGTTAAACCACCAGTACTTCTGAAAGCCGCAGCTGTATATGAGCTGTGATGTGCAGGGCCGAACAGGCCTGCCGGGGCCTGTGCAAATTCATTCAAGTGGAAACGTTGCGGCTCTCTTTTTCGCTGTGGTCGATGAATGGGCGAAGTACTGGTGGTCTAAGGTCTTTTTTTTTTTTTTTTTTTTTTTTTTTTAATTGAACAGGTCCTTATTTTCCTGGCTCCTTATCCATTCTGGGGAGCGTCAGTCCGGTTCCTTTCCACCGGCAAGTCGAAAACTGGAGTACATGGTGAACACCCTCACGCTTCCTTCCGTCTGGCCGAAGGAACCCTGACCAGCATTGATTGCTCCTTGTAAGGAGGATTGACTGTCAGCTTGCCCTACCCCTTTTCCTCTCAGAGTCTCCTATGTCTCTGTCAGATATTCCGTATTTACCAAGAAAAGCGGAGAGATATTGCTGTTGGGGTTACAATCTCAGTTCGTTTTCCTCTACATCCCTGTCCCTGTGGTGTACCACCTGTCTCTTATACACATCTAGATGTGTATAAGAGACAGGAGAGAGAGAGAGAAAGAGAATATAGGTGACCGATTGAATGACACGGTTTGGCTTGTGTCTATTGTCCATTACTTGTTCCCCTTTCTCTTTGTATATGCACTTCAGGTTACAAAGTTTGACATGGCAGCATTTGTCCGAGAACCATGGAGGTATTTGAAGGCAACCCTTCAGGTCTGGGAGCATCAGGGTCTCCTGGAGGCCATCACACTCTCTCTAATCTGCTTATGGGAATCTTTGTCATTCAGATGCCAGCAGATCTTCAGTACGTATATCCGTTTTATGTCCAGCTGAAAACACCAATCTATTTTTTTAATTTTAAGATTTCTGTTTGATGATATTTATATGTACAATGTGTACCATTCTAGAATAAGTGTGTGAGCCACAGTTCCTGAAATATTCCAACCATATAAATTTGGACCATTTCTCGATTTATGTGTCTCATCCTTGTGTAGGGGCCATGCAAATCTTCTCTGTATCGTTCCAATTTTAACGGATGATCTTAAACCACCAGTGCACCTGAGGCTAAATGTACGGGACTAAATCTGAAATTTGCCCAGCCTGAAAGCGACCGGTATCACCACTTGGAAAAACAAGGGTGGTACTAGCACGGACCTCTGCGCTGGACCTGTTGCCAGCAGATGGGACGAGAAGGAGGCCGCTGTTTTCGCTCACATGCCACCCCAGCCTCTCAAACGAGCAAAGAAGAGGGGGGTTTGGGGGACTTCGAACTACGGTATGGGAGCGCTCAATCCTCATGACCGGGGCGGTATGATCTAGGGTTTCCATAGCCATGTGGAGTTAGGCCGCCATGCCCTGAGTTGCTAAGCACAGGGAAGGCAGGTCTTGCAGCTGTTGAGCTTCATAATGGAAGCTTGAGCAAATGTATGAACAAGGTCTTATTTTATTTCCTCATTTAGCTACTTTAGGATGGGGTATAGGACCAGGTGGAGAAGTTATTAATACATTTCCTTAGGTGTAACTTGTCCGTTTCTTCAGGGAAGGCGACAGGCGGGACCTCCACAGAGGGGAGAAGCGGAGCAGGGTCAGAGCATGAGGGACGGGAGTCTGTCCCCTAGGGCTTGCAAAGGGGATTTCAGTGCAACGGTTGGGTGTCGCGACTTAGCATGAGTACAGGAATTGTCCTCTAAGGCTGATAAGGCGGGGTTTCAGCATAGTGGCCAAGTGTCGTGACATATATGAACACATCTGAACACATCGAACTGAAGAGTGGTTGAATTAGTGCAATTCCCGTGGAACTTCCCTCAAACTAGTGGAGCAGTGGCAGAAAGAAAACTTTCAACAACACATCAAACTTTTGAACTGAAAAAGGTTCTCACTGCACTACTATCGGCTCTTCGAAATCTGAGAGTTTTCCACCACTGCACTAACTCTCCGATTTTAGCCCCCCCAAAACCTCGAATAGCTGTCAGAAACCACCATGGAAAAACACTCTCTGCGGGTGGAGAGTGCCCAGCCTGCAACCGTTGGTTTTCAGAGAGACCTTTGAGCAACTCACAGGAGGATCCCGAATTTGGAAAGTGTGCCTGGAGTCTGGGCGGACAAAATGGTGATGACGCCGTGTCTTCTTCTGCTGTCACGGTGTCTGCTAGTGCACTCAGGAATTGGAGAGTAGACGCGTGGAGAGGAAGTGCAGTGGTGAAGCTAAAAAGGCGAATTTGGAGATTCAGACAGCTATCCGTGCACTCTCCGATTTCGTGGAGAGTGGAGCGTAGTGTAGTGAGACCCAAAGAAAACTTTCAAAAACACACCAAACTTTTGAACTGAAGAATGTTGTCTCAACAACGTGCTTCCTATGGCGTTAGTCACAGCAACAGTCTGTGCACTCCTGCAAGGGTAATGAGCTGACGATTGTCTCCTTCAAGCGGCCATCCAGGTAACACTTTAGTTGTTCACCAAGCCAGAATGCGTTTTTGGAAGGCTTGGGGCGGAATATATACTCATCTAAAAAGAAGTCAGGGTTTGCGTGGAAACTTCGAGGAAACAGGGATTTTTTATGCGACCAACAAATAATTCGGGTTGTAATCGACATCAAGAACTACTTTAAGTCGTCCTCTGCTGATACACGAGCTTTGTTTTTTCTCGCTCCCTGGTGTATTGGAGCTCAACTGAGGCTCTGAGAAGATAGTTGTTTCCCAAAATAGCAAGGGAAAAAAAAAGTGGAAGAAGGTAGCTGTTGTCATGTGGGTGGGGATCACATCCATCCGTCGTTACACACACACACACACACACACACGCACAGAG